CCCCCCACCCCGATCGAGCCTCCTCCCCCGGCCCCCGATTCTGCCCGTGCTCCCTCGCTCCGATTTTGCCGAACGTCCCTCCTCATCCAATAGGGTGCGTGCGTGTGTCTATATGCTTCTTTCCTCTCCCGCCGTTTGAAGCATACGCCATCCTCTCCTTTCTCTTGCCATCTTTTGAGATCCCCCTCCCCCCCCCACGCCCTTACACCCGCCACACGCCTTGCCCCTGCTCCCAGTGTTCTGGGCGTGAAGCACAATTTGCCAGTCCCGCCGCACCCGTGGCCGCACGAGGGTGCCCAGCTCGCCGCTCCAAAGCAGCACTCCTGTAAGTATCGCGTTCTATTTTTCTCCTCTCATTGTCCGAGCATTGGGCTCTGACCCCTGCCGTTTGCCCCCCCCCCCCCCCCCCCCCCAAACCCCCTATACGCCGTTCTCCCTCCCTCCTGTGCATGTTTTATGTTCTCAGCGCTTCCCCCTGACAGCCCTCGTCGCTTCAGTTACCTTCCATCCGGCCAGCCCTTTTCACGTATGCGCCCCTGCCTGTGGTAGGCATCCGGTATGTCCTCCCCCTTTCTCGGCCCGCTTTCCCGGTTGACTTGCCTCCCTCCCTCTCTCTCTCTCTCTCTCTCTCTCCCTCTTTTTCTTTCTTTCTCTCTCCCTCTTTCTCTCTCCCTCTTTCTCTCTCCCTCTTTCTCTCTCCCTCTTTCTCTCTTTCCTCTCTCCCTCTTTCTCTCTTTCCTCTCTCTCTCTCTTTCTCTCTTTCCTCTCTCCCTCTTTCCTCTTTCCTCTCTTTCCTCTTTCCTCTCTTTCCTCTTTCCTCTCTTTCCTCTTTCCTCTCTTTCCTCTTTCCTCTTTCCTCTCTTTCCTCTTTCCTCTCTTTCCTCTTTCCTCTCTTTCCTCTCTTTCTCTCCCTTTCCCCCTTTCTCTCCCTTTACTTCCCTTTACCTCGCAAACTATGCTCCAACTGCCCCCTGCCGCCGACTCACCGTCAGCAGACAGACTACCTTGGCTCCCGCCTCACGCAGCTCCGCTTGACCGCTCCTGGGCCCCTCGCTCGTCATGGCCGACCGTAGGAGGCAGCGCAATGCCCTTCGACCAAATGGAAATGCCTGGTCCAACAGCGTCAGCCACAGTCGCTGTCTCCTGGTGACCGGCTGCGCCAGTGAGGCCGAGGCCATGGAAATCATCGACCTTGCCAAGGTACAGCTGACAACTCATTCACTGCCTCGCCCCCCCCCCCCCCTTGCCGGATCGCAAATGGGTGCCTTTCGTTCGCCCGCCAGTCTACCCGGCCCATTCCCGCCCTGACCCCCTCCCCAGTCTTCCTTTGATCTCCAATATTCGAGCCCGCTGCCGCCGGCCTCGACCAAGGATGGCTGCCATGGTGTGGAGCTTGTCTTCTTCGATTCACGCGCGGCCAAGCGCTTCGAAACCACCCTCCTGTCCAGTGCCGGGCCTGCTGCCCGCGGCGGGGCCCTCGGCGTGTCCTTCGAGCGGCACCCTCTCAACGACAAGTCCCTCCTTTGGGTGTTCTTCTTCTCGGCTCGAACCCTGCCCAATATGCCCGACCTCGAAGAGGCCGGCAGCCTCAGCGCTCGGGCCCTGGCCCACCAGCTCCTCCCGGCCGAGTCTTCGCCCGAGGACCGGCGTCACATCATGAGCCTCGTCAACCACTGGCGTGACAATCTCCTCTCCAATCCCAAGCCCCTGCTGGCCATGCGCATGCGAAATCGCAGCCAATCCACCAGCAGCCTGGACCACCCCGCCGGCGCGGAGAGGCCCGCCGGTGCCCCGGCCGGGGGGCCTCAGTCCGGCACACAGCCCGCCGCCTGCCCCCAGGCGGCGGCCACCCCGGCGACCGGCACTGCTGCAAACGGTGGCGCCGCCCAGTCTGACAAGGTGGGCTGGCGACTGGAGTTTTTCGACGTGCGCGACGCTCGTCGCGCTTCGGATCTCCTCTACCGGACCCTTTCCAATCATTCCCCCGAGCACCAACTCTCCCTTTCGGTGTGCCTCTTCGATGTGGCCGGGCCACGGTACATTGTGGCCACCCCCCCGGCGGCTCCCTCTGCCGGTCCTTCGGTTGAGCCTCACCCCGGACCGGTACGCCTTCTCTCTCCCCCCCCCTCGCGACTGCCCTCTCCCACACCCATGCTGGAGCTCTCATCTCATCTTCTGACCATCTCCCCCCCGCCGTTCTGCTCCTCGGACTCCCATCATGCAGCCCCCCGTCTCTGCGCGTCCTTCCAATGGCCGCCGCTATTCCCTGCCACACCTGTCATACAGCCACGGCGCCGGTGGTGGCTCCGGGCCCGGCGCTCCGGGCCCCGCATCCATGTTGGATCGAAATGACCCGATCGCCGCTGCGGCTGCCGCCTCGGCCGCCTTCCAAGCCTCGCTTGACCATCGCCAGTCTGCCAATGCACATCATGGACATGGGGGGATTGCTCGGCGAAAGGGATCCATCGATGGGGGTCTGCTCCTGCCTCTAGATCGAGGGAAGTTCTCCACCGACAGCGACCCTCACGGCAGCAGCGGCGCCGGCTATCGCGGACGCTGGTCCGACACCGGCGCCCACGCGTCCGGTCACCATCGATCTTGGTCCTCTGGAGGTAACCAGCAAGAGTTCACCGGTCCGTTCTCGCACTTCCCCACCCCCTCCCTCCCTCTCTCTCTCCCCCTCTCCCTCTCCCTCTCATTCGCTCTGCCTCCTGCCCGCTCATCCGCCCATCGCGGTTCAATGGACCTCTCGATGGCCCCTTCTTCCGCTGACTCCCCCCCCTCCCCCCCAATTTGGACATGGGCCTACCTTTCTTACCTCGAATGCTCTGGTCACAGCTCCGCGTGGCCGTGCGCCCGGGACCTCGGCCGCCGGCCTTGGCGGGCAGCCTACCACCACCGGTCCCTCGAGTGCCAGCACACGCGGTGGTGGCGGACCTGCTGGGCCCATCGCAGCTGGCACGACTCCTCCCTTCCGATTCGCCCGCTCCGGCTCGGTGTCCGAGGCCTCCGGCGGGGGTCCCTCTTCTGGCACCGGTTCGGGATCCCCCTTCGCTGGAGGCTCTTCTTCATCCTCCTCCTCCTCCTCCGGTGGCGGCGGCGGGTCTACAGGCAGCGGGCCCACCGCAAACAGCGTGCCCGATCCATTTGTCTTCTGCCCGGAGCAAGTCCGCAGCGGGCAAGAGCGCCGAACAACCTTGATGATCCGCAACATCCCGAATAAGTATACCCAGGAGATGCTGCTGGAGGCCTTCGACAAGGCGGCCGTCCCGATGATCGACTTTGTGTACCTGCCGATTGACTTCAACAACCAGTGCAATGTCGGGTATGCCTTTGTCAATTTCGCGCGGCCTGGCCCGCCGTTGCTGCACATTTTCGAGCGCTTCAATGGCCAACGCTGGGAGCGTTTCAACTCGGACAAGATCTGCCTTCTGTCCTTTGCTCGGATTCAAGGCCGCGATGCTCTGATCGGCCACTTCCGGAATAGCAACATCATGTTCGAGAAGGCCGTCTACCGGCCGAAGCTTTTCTATGTGGACGGTCCGCTGGCCGGCCAGGAGGAACCTTTCCCCGAGCTCCCGGCCGCCGGGCTCGGCGACTGGTCAGGCACCTCGACCGGCCCGGGTTCCGGATCGTCCACCACCACCGGCGGCGGCGGCGGCGGCGGCGGCGGCGGCGGTAACAACTCCTCCACCAGTGGAGGGGGCCGGCACTCGCGCTCGCATACGCCCCTTTCGCCATTGCCCTCCTCCCTCGGGCCCTCGCGATCCGGCGACCAGCACTCACGTCCAGGAGGTCGGCGATCCTACTCGCCGCCGCCCAGTAGCGGACCGACCGGCTTCCAGGGCGGGCGTCGACGTGGATCCCTCAGCTCCGGTCTTGGCTCGGCAGCCAGTGGTCTCACCCCGTCCACGGTGGTCAGTGGGGCATTCTTCACCGGCGGCGGGGTCTCTTCCTCGCCTGTGATTCTCCCCCTGGGCGATGAGCCAGTCGGCCGGCTTCCCCCCTCCCGGCCCGGCTCGGCACTGGGTGTTGCCTCCTCGTCTGCTGGCTCGCCTCCTGGGGTAGCCACGGCGGGGCCTGTGGCCACCACCACCGCCACCACCACTGCTGCCAGTGCTGCCGCTGCCGCTGCCGCTGCTGCTACTGCCGCCGCCTCCGCAGCAGTAGCAGCAGCCGCCGCCGCCGCCACCACCACCACCACCGCCGCCGCTCCTGCACTGCCCTCCGCCCGATCTCCTCGCGTGGATGTGGTTCTTGGGGATCTCCTACCGACGGATTTGCTGCTCTCGGTGGATTCGCCCATGTCGGATGCCGCGTCGCCCGGGGTCGGTGTCAACGCTGCTCTGGCTTCCGGCACCATCGGGCTCTCAGCCACTGCCCCGGCCAGTCCCGGTCTCGGCACTTCCTCCCAACCGGGCCTCATGGAGGCAGCCATGGCCGCAGTGGCTGTTGTTGCTCCAGTGCGCCCGGGTGTCTCCTCTGCCGGAGCATCCGTTGCACGATTGCACCACTCGCATCACCAGCAGCCGCAGCCGCAGCCGCAGCCGCAGTCGCAGTCGCAGTCGCAGCTGCAACACCATCAGCTCTCTCACCATCAGTCCACCGTGGGTAGCACTTCGGCCCGGGCTCTCCCCTCGCCTACGGGCCTTGCTGGTGGAGGCATCTTTTCCACGGTAGATCCCTCCTCACCGCCAGCACACTACTTCTCAAATCGGCGACATTCCTATTCCGGTGCCAGCAGCAGCAGCAGTAGCAGCAGCAGCAGCAGCAATAACAGTGACCGAGGTGCCACAATCGGCGGGTTCCTTTCCCACAGCAAGCCCCCCTCCGGCGCCTTCCCTCTCCCGATGCACCACTCACACACACCACAAGTGATGCTGCAATCGATGCCCCAACAGCAGTCGCAACAGTCATCGTCGGTGCCGGGGCCACACGCTCTGATGCAGTCCTACATGCATCCTCATGCACACGCGCATGCACAGTTGCACGCAGCATCAGGCGGTCCCTCACTTCTGTCATCATCGCCCTCCTCCTGCTCAGCCCAGTCGTCACTTTCCTCGCTTGGGTCCTCCACGTCTATCGGAGGGTCCTCCACATCGATGAGCTCTTCCTCCACGACTGGGACCCCCATGTCGCTTGGATCCCTCCCTCCACCATCACCCCCCTCATCCGCGTCTGGTGGCTCGGGGGGCTCCACGGCGGCGGCGGCGGCGGCGGCGGCGGCGGCGGCGGCAGCGGCTCCCCCCGGATCTCTGCCCGGCTTGAACGGCCTACATGGCACGAATGCGGCAACAGCGCTGGCGTTCCATCATCTTGGTCATCTCAGCCCGATCGCCCACCCCCATCTCAGCCATCATGGCCATCCCCTCGGCCAGCATCACCCTGTCGGCCAACACCACCATCATGGCCACCATCCCCACCACCAGCAGCAACAGCACCCGCACCCGCACCCGCACCCGCACCCGCACCAGCAACATCAACACCACCACCACCAGCAGCAACACCACCACCACCAGCAGCAACAGCAACATCATCAGCTTGGCCACCATCACCACCTTGGTCACCATCTTAACTATCACCTTCCATCGGGGACCGGTCTGTCACTTGTGGCAGGCATTGCCTCGGAGGAGTCGGCCCCACCCCCGCCGCCCTCGTCGTCCCTGTCATTGACCTCTTCAGCAGCCAGCCAGCCCGGCACAGGAGCTGCCACCAATGCCAGTCGCCTGTCACCGCGCGCCGCCCTGGCCAAGGTGCCGGAGGCTCTCGACCAGTCGGATGTCTCCTCCTGCTGGGAACCCAGCGATGTCCGCGGCGGCGGATCCCCAAGCCCTGTAGTCACCAGCCTAACGGCAACCCCACCCTCCTCGTCCTTGTTCTCGTCCTCCTCCTCGTCCTCCTCCTCCTCCTCGTCCTCTTCCTCGTCCTCGTCCTCCCCCTCCAGCAGCTCCATCCGTGCCGGTCTAGATGGGAGTTCCTCTTCACCAGCGCTCCTTGCTTCCACAATCTCCTCCACCGCGGTGTCGACAGCGGGGACAAGTGACACCTCTTCCATGGCGCACTCCGTGGTCTCCGCATCCATTCCCCCCCCGGCCGTGACATCGGTTCCCTCGTTCATCCCATTGGCCGCGCCACCGCACCCTGGGCTATTGGGCTCACATGCGCGGTCGCGCTCACTTCCCATGGTGTCCGTCCCGCCGTTGATGTCCCAGACATCGTCCCAGGTCCCGCATCTACTGGGCGGCGCGAATGCCGGGGCCGGGCCACAGACCCAGCCACCGACTAGTGTGCCCTTCGGCTTTTCTCGACTTGGTGCGGCCCCTTCGCCGTCGCCCCTTCCTCGAAACTTCGGCCTGACGGAGTACATGCTCCTGACACCGACGGGTGTCCCGCTGGCGCCTGGTGGAGACACAGGACCCGACATGGGATCCTCGGTGGCCACCGATCCAACTGTGGCCAGTGCCACGCACTATCCCACGCGGGCCGGCATGTCGGGCGAGGATGGCACGCTGGCCGCTCTGTCGCATTCGCTACTGGGGCTGGGCATCACTGATGCCGGAAGCAGCCACTCCTTCTTGGCATCTCACCCCCAGCCGACGGCACCGGCCCCCCTTCACACGACCGCGTCTCCGTGCGTCCCACCCTTTTGGATGGGTTCCCCCCCCCCCCCTCCCTTCCGCCTTCTGTTCGGCTTCTCTGACCGCCCTCTCTCCTCTCCCGGCGCCCCAGGCCAACGGATGTCCGACTCTTCCCCCGACATGCATACTCCTCCTCCTCCTCTCCTCCCGCCCGGGGGCCCGAGTGTATGGCCCTGCTCTGTTGCACATTCAAACGCACATCATCTTTCTGCACGATCCGCCTCCCCCCCCCCCCCGCCCGCTGCCCACTGCCCCCTACCCCCTCTAATCGAGCCCCTCTCCCATGTCCCTGCCAGTAGCCGACCTGCATCCGCATACCCTGTCCACCCATCTGGAGGCGGAGGACCTTGCCCCGCCAAATGGCGCCTCGCAGCCGCATTTCATCGGGCCCGGCTACGCTCTGACCGGGGGAACAGCATCCACCGGACTGCATCTCCCAGCACCGAGCCAGTTCGGCGCGATCGGCACGCCGAGGCCCGGGGCGCTGGTCCGCTCGCAAACCGCCAGTGCCGAGCTGTCCTCGGTGGCGGAAGCCTGTGCGCCGGAGGAGAAAGAGGATCCCACCCTGCCGAAGGCTGGTGGGCCCCCCTTGCTGGACTCCAGTGAGGGACTGGTAGCCACGGCACCGGCGGATTTGATGTTCCTGCCGCCGGGATCAGCGGCAGCCGTGGCCAGTGCCGCGGCTGCCGCGGCCGCTGCCGGCGCCGGCGCCACCACCACCACCACCACATCGGCCTTTGTACAGTATCGCGCGCCACAGGCAGGCCAGTCCGCCTCGCCTGTGGTCGAGGCAACCGATTCCATGGCGGCGACGGGCGCTCCTGCTGCTACCCTGGTTGGCGGCCGGCCATCGGCTCTGTCCCTTTCCGGGTCGCTGTTTGCCGACTCGGTTGGCGCGGTGACGGCGTCGTCAGCTGCCCCGGCGGTGGCCACTGCCGTGCACGTTCGCCACGCGTCAATGCCTGTGCCAATGTCGACGGCTGGCGGCTCGCCACCGGTATCTGGCAATGGGGCCGAGCTTTTCCCCGGGCCCGGGCAGGCCTGGCTCCCGCTGGGAATGAGCTGCGCCTGTGCGGGCCTCGGCCATTGTGGTGCCTGTGTGAGCTCGCCGGCGGCCACGATGGGCGGCGCCCCGGCCCCCATCGGCCACCACCCGCGACAATTGTCCGCCTCGGGAAGCGGCGGCAAGTATTCGATGGAGGATGCTGGCCAATCGTCTGCTCCCTCCTCGCTGCTCCATCTTCCCGGAGGTGCTGGCAATGCTGGGGCAACGGGGCAGCTGTTTGCCGCGGCCATGGCGGCCGCCACTTCATCCGTCCCCCCGCACTCGCATCACCCTCACCACCTGCACCACCTGCACCACCATTCGCACCACCATTCGCACCATCCGCACATGCATCCGGCCCATTCGCATGTGCACCATGCGTCGCCGCCTCACCAGCTGCTCCTGCACGACTATCACCTCTCATCGCAGGCCCAGCCACACCACATGGCCGGGGCCGGGCCACCCCCAGGGCAGCCGCTGGCGCTGCCCTACTTCGCCAGCGGACTGGCCGTCGGGTCGAATGTCCCCGGCTTTACCACCAGTTCCAGTGGGGGCTCCAGTCCCCCCGTACCCACTGCAGCCCAGCCCCCAGGCCTCCACAATGGGTATGCCTCCACCGGCGGCTTCCTGGCCATGCCCTCGACCGCCGGCGGAGCCGGCAGCACTATCCAGGCGCCTGCCTCGCACCACCATCACCATCACCACGGCTTCCAGTAAGCAATGTCTGCCTGGCGGCGCATCCCGTCCTTCCCCCCCCCCCTCCCCCCCCGCCTTCTCCCTCTCCCTCTCGGTCTGGCTCTTTCTCTCCCTCTCCGCCATTATAGCTTGGCTTCCACCAAACCCCGAGGGACTGGGTAAGGATGTATTTTTTCTTCAGGGTCCGCGCTTGTGCACTTGGTTGGGCAACTGCTCTTGCCGATTGAGCACTTCTCGGGGCTGCTCGCGTGGACACACAAGCACACATACTCCGCAGTGCTCCCTGCCACCTTCCCTCTTTCAAATAGGCAGACTATCATCTCCCTCCTCTCCTCCTCCTCCTCCTCCTCCTCCTCGGTCCTCCTCCCGGGCCCCCCTTTCACAGTTGCTCGCATTCCGCCCGCCGCCCCTTGCCCCGGTGCTCATTGTCCCCTGCCCCCCAAGACTCCCCCTGCGCGAAGGAAAGACTCTCAAGCCAACCTTGCCTGTCCCATTGGTCGGCGACCTTTCCGCTCCTTAATAGAACCCGATTTGGTTGCTTCCGCACCGTCAGTTAACCGTGCTCCCCCCTCCTGCCTGAGGAGAGAGAGGCGGGGGGGGGGGGGGGGTGCGCACGCGAACGTGCGCACTTTTCGCCACAGCCCGCGACCCGCGCGTCGGTGCGGTGTTTTCACCAACCAAAAGCCATTCAACCTAGCCCTTTTTTTCGCCATCACCCTACTACTGCCCTATTGAACGGGGGGGGGACAACCCGCTCGCAGGGCAAACTGTATTGAGTAGTCACATTCCACATGGATACCCCGTGATTTCGGCCGGCGATGCCATGGGTCACACGTCCCCATGGCTGCCAGCAGAAAGACATGCCCTCGAAGGGCGGGGCCGCGGTTGTGCCACAACCCGCTTTCCTGGGTGTGGGAAAGGGGAAAGTACACCACCAGGTCCCAGGTGCCCCGACATTGGCGGGGCGCATGCATTTCGATTCAAGGGGCTGGGACTATGTCGGGGTTCCCGCGTTGGAAGTTCACGTCCGGACCACGGCCGCATCCCGCTTGGTCGGCCGAGGATGGCGGGCTACCGTCAGTAGAATCATGATGTGTTGAGCCATTTGTCTTGGTGGCTTCGTAATTCCACTATTTTATTATCCCACTTCTTTGGAGGCCTGTTCGCAACATTCTAAATTACTCCAACAGACCATGGCAGCACGTCTTCGGATCGGCGACCCCCTCCCCGGGCGAGAGGGGAGAACGGAAGGAGGGGCCAGAACTCTGGGCGGATGGTCATTTGGCATTTGTGGGTGAGCGCTCCTGGCTGCCGGAGAAAGGCCGATCGGGGAACAACCCCCTGTGCGTGGGTCCCGGGGGATTTTCCTCTCTCACGCGGAGGAGGGCCCAGCATGTCTCCAGGGCATTTTTTCCAACAGGGGCTGCGCGCCCGAAGACCAGCGGCCGACGGGTTTCCCCGCACAGAGGACGATCCGAGGAGGGCATGCCTGCTGCGCTTGTTACACCTGTCTGCCTGGGAACATGGCCCGCGTCGACCGGAAGGGGGCCAGGGGCGCGGGGACTGAGAGGCCAGTGTGTTCCGCTCCCCCGCGGCATTGGCACCAGCAGCCGGCGAGGGTCGCTTCCGGGATGCCCCAGAGTAAGCTGAGCAGGACAGGGACCAGGCGCCCGGCGCCCTGAGGGGGGACTGAATGCTTTGCGGAAGAGGCTGGCCGCCAAAAGAGGGGGGGGGGGACACCACCCTGTACCTGTGGGCCCTCGAGAGTGAGGGGGCCTCGCGCGGGCCCGCATCATGACTCTTTCTTTTGTGCCGCCCTTCGACAACTGAGTTGGCAAATGGGCGCGGAAGACGACGGCCTCTCGACCCTGGCCTTCCCTGGTCACTGGTGTGACATGGCCGTGCTCCAAGGGTGTCTCGCGGTGATTTCCGCTCCCACACCACCCCGTATCCAGAAGGATTTGCCCACGCCCCAGGAGCATTACGAGGAAAGCGCCCCGCACTCGCACACTGACATGCGTTAGTCAGAAGGAGGTCTATCCATTGTCCCGGGGGCGCTAATATTCGAAGGATTTCTCTCGGGGCTTGGGTTTTCCGAAAATCGTCCACGCCACACCCCGGCATGAGTCATTTTCCACGGACGACACAAGGGCGCCCCCGTCCGGCCACGCTCCGCGCTAGTGTGTGTGTGTGTGTGTGTGTGAGGGCCGTCAGGCGCATGTCGATGCTCGGTTGGCACCTCGCCCAGAGCGGCCCTCTGACATAAGACCGGCTTGCCCTCGCTCTCTCTCTCTCTCTCTCTCTCTCTCTCTCTCTCTCTCTCTCTCTCTCTCTCTCTCTCTATCTCTTCGTTCTGCCTGATCCCGAAGGCCGCGGCTTTCTCGACATGCACGCCGAAGTGATAACGCGTTCGCGGTGCGCCAGGGCCCGGGGATATTCGCGTGGTGCGTCTGGCCGACGGTGACAGACTCTCGACGCGCCCTGCCACGTGCTGCGGAGGAAAATGTGCCCTTTGTCGCGCGACTAAAAGTCGGGCGAGGGAGACGGACGACCGTGCCAGATCCAACCTCCTGTAGTGGAATCCCCATGTAAACGATAGATGAAGCAACACGTGAGTGAATTGCCACACGTGTTACATCGTGGGAATGATAGCATCCCAGAACAGCATTCCTCGGAGAGGAATGCGGGGTAGAACAACAGCCAGGTGGCCGCCGAGGCCGAGCGGCATAAACGCTCGACCGAGGACGGAGATACGCGGGTGGGCGGGCCCAGCCGCGGGGTTCTCAGTTCCAACCCCTGACCGAGCCCAAAGGTCAAAAAGGGGGACTCTCGTTGAGAGCCTCCTGAGAGCGAAAGCCTTAGCAGCTGTGTGTCGAAGAGTATACGGAAGTATAGCCGAAGCACCAGTTAGGCCGACGAACACCTGTTCTAAGGCTTCCTCTCGAACCCTTTTTAACATCCGAGTTCCTTTCTATTTTCGCTTGCCACTAACTCGTCTCAAGCCGAGTTACTGACTCATCTGGTAACAGACGACCGTGAACCGCTGGTTGGTATGTCCCTTCCTTCATGCCAAGAGGTTACTAACCAGGTGGCAGATCACACTGGTACCCTTCGTCAAGCCTCACTCACTTGACTTAGGCTTAACCCGTGTGAACCCTGCTACA